ACAAAAGCCAAAATGGCAGAGAGAAGAGAACATGCAGGACACACTGTTTGCAGTATCAGCCAGCACTGCCAGCAGTCACAAACTAATTCAGGGGGGCTTTCTGAGGGGAAGACGGATGAATAAATGCTCATTAATGACCATACCTTTCAGTAATGAATTAGTTTGATTATATGAAGTTGTTCTTTAGTTTTATTGACTGTGCTAGAGCTACAGCTACTGTATATACACTGTATACACACTCAATGCAGAGGGTTTGCTGTCACAGAATCCCTAACCTCCATTTACCATTTTAGTGTTTGACGTCTTTATAATCCATTTCAGAACAGTGATTTGTTTCCTGTGCAAATTCAATTTAAAACAGGACATGACCTACATTTATTTGAAATCTATTTATTTTGGTTGCCTCGTCCTACACTCTCAGAAAATGCTGTCACTTGGGTGGTACCTTTTCAAAACGTACACTTTTGTTTCTTTTAGATACTAATATTTACACTTTTGGTAGAAATATGTACAAAGGCGCCTTTTGAAAAGATACCACCTCAGTGAAAGCTTTTGTACCTTTTTTATTTCTGATGTGTAATGAATCATTCTTCTAAAAGCATTTCTGAGAAAACACACCAAGTGGCTCTTTGTAGGTGTACCTACACTGTCTTGTTAATGTGAATATCTGTATAATATAGGTAGATAGTCGCATCAGATATATAGAATTAATTCTATTTTATAATATTGTGTTCTACTAAACATTGGAGTTCATCTCAGTGCTCAATTACCTCAATGCTGCTCAAATTAAAACTTTTAAAAATACATTTTAAAAACTTTTTTTTTTTAATGTATTTAAATTACATTTAGTACATACACTTCTGCATTTGACAAACACTTTTATCCAAAGATATTTACAATGCACTGTAAAAAAAAATATTGTAATTGTAGCTATAAAAGACTGGTAGAATTGTTAGAAGAAAAACGTTTCAAAAAAAGTTTCAAATATGATCATTTTTACATTGCGTGAAATCCACGCAAATTATCATAAATATTAGCAGGAAATCAAGACTAATACATTGTACTCATAAATTAATAGTAGGGTTTGTTTGTTTTTGTTTTGTGGTTGCACACTGTGCTGTGCTGATAAAATAAAAATAAAATTAATTTTAGCTGTAAAAGACTACAGTAAAAATGCTACAGTATACTCCCTTTCAATATACAGGGAAAAACTATAGCCTAATACATCTAATGGGACATTTCATAATATTTTAAGTACTGTTAAATGTACAATTTTTCTTAATAAAAAATGAGTCATCTTATAATTTACAGTGAAAGCCATAAACTGACATTCCTACAATTTCCTGTGTGACAACTCACATTTTTATAGTTTATAGTTTTTGGTATCAGTCATGTGTATTGGGGTTTAATGTGTTACCATGATGGTGTTTTTTGTATTTACGTGCATACAACTGCGTGCACCTTTAATATATTCGTATTTACCTCAGCTTGTGGTAAAGCTATTTCTGATGGACTTTAATTCATCATGTGTCTTTCTCTTTACCACCAGGTTCATTATGGTGGCTGTCAGTATATGTTACATTTACGTATAGCAGCATGGACTTGATAGTTTAGAAGAACAGGGCTATTGGATTTACCAGTTTCATTTTGACATTTTATTTTATTTTAGTATTCTTTATTTATTTATTTGTTTGTTTGTTTTGTAAATTACCATTTCAAACTTTTTTCTGCCAACCACAGCTGTCAAGGTTTTTTTTTTTATTATTATTATACAGTGTGCATTTAAGGTATACATTTGATCAGTTCATGCATTCCCTGGGAATCAAACCCATGATTTTAGTGTTGCTAGCACCATGTTCTACTGAATGCAGAGCTATATAGATCTCAGAAGTGCAAGAGATGGAAATGATAATACCCACTTTGTTGGCAAAAAAATCAAAAAGTAAACAAATGTAAGTAAGAGTTTTAAACGTCTCTCATTTTTAAAGTGTTTTAGGACTATACAGCAGATTATGCTTCAGCAGATTATTCATTGCTCTTTATTTTACATTGTTTGCAGTGTGAAACAAGCTTACCAGGTGAACCGTATGTGAGCTTTATGAGAGTATCACCAGTGTGATACACATCCTTCTCGAAGATTATTCCGTTCTGTTTGATGTCTTTTTTCCCAACCCTTGAGCAATAGTAGAGACCAAGGTCTGCTCCAGTGATGTTCTCGATCACTAAGTCATAGGATTTTGAAGCATTGTTCCAGAACACAGAGAATCGTGGAATGGGTTGTAATAGGCTATTGTATGTAGAGATGATCAGAGGCGGTTGGATCTGTGAAGAGCAGATCTTAACCCAATGAATCTCCTGTCCAATGACAATCTCACTGTCACAGGGAAGAGTTGCATTATCTCCAGGCCTGACCACCACCTCCACCAGCGTTCCAGAGACTTTCCAGTAAATGCAACTCAGTGCAACTACATTCAACCAGAAATGATGGGTTACTCCGAGAAAAATGACGGGTGTACAAAAAATGCACAGTCCTTATATTGAGTGATTAAGAAATGCACATGTACAGTTATTCAGAAACCAATATTTACACTACAGATGAAATATACATATTTAAACCAGAAATATGAGAAGAAATCACTTACTGAGTGAAGTGATAGAAACCTTCATGCTGGCCACATGTGTGGTGGTGCTTGTGGGTGAGGCATATGTAACTGTCAATGTGATTTCCGCCTTTTGATTTGTTGTGCATAGATAAAACATCAGTTTAACCATGCAAACATATACTATATGTGTGTGTGTGCATATGTATTTCTTAAAGCAAATAGCACAACAAATATTTTTTTAAAATGTTTCAATGTTTGTATTGAAAACAATGTTTTTTTAAAGACAACCCTATTGTCCTCAACATCCATCAGATTTTGATTTAAATGTGTTTCTTGTTTAGTTTCATTAAATGTGGTTTGTTATTGTAGCTAATACAATGGCGTGAAAAGACAGTAAGGCAAAAGTATTACAACGTTCTACCTCTAAGGGTTTTAATGTATAAACACGAGGCTGTAAACCTAGTTAATTTGAAGATGGAGGGAGACCGAGGCTGAATTTGGGTCAGTGGTTTGAGTGGCATACATGCATATGTGGACCTCAAAGACCACTCAGATACACAGGCGTCAAATATTTTCCATGTTTCTGTCTGACGCACAAAGAAACCTGCTGATATGAAGAATGATAAAATACAGCAGGCATCAGCAATTGAAAGGGGAAAATGAATCTTTGACACTTTAAAAGTGTCACATTTTAAAATCATTTTGTTTTAGTCCATGAGGTCTATTCGTTTCAGTTAAAGTTTCTTGAAATAAAACAGTTGCCCTTTATTTGTGCTACTTTATATTATTGTTAGCAACAGGCTGTTATGCTTGAATTATATGTATGAAATAGTAATAAGGTTTGATTGGCTTAGTATAATAGCCGTAGCCTATATATTATTGCCGAATTTGAAAAGAGTGAACTGGATTTATACACCTTATGCTGAATAAAATACTTTTAACTACTAACAGTTAGTCAATTCATTGGCATTTGTTTTATGAACAATTAAGTCTGGTATGAAATAGATTACTAATAAAAAACAAAAGTAGGTAATGTAATAGTACTACGCTACACTTTCCCCCATATAGCCTATAGAAAACGCATAACATAGCGACCAGCGACATCTAGAGGTTGTTGAAGGAAGTTCGCCGTCAGATAATTAGCCTATAATTATATGTGATATTAGTAATTTTCAGTACTATTTAGGGCAGATAGGGTGGATAGTATGCACATTGGGACGCAGGGCCGGTGTTACATTTTCCCCCCAAATGTATCTGTATGACTTCCACCACCTATTGTTATGATTTTTGTATATGTGACCCTGGACCACAAAACCAGTAAGTATAGCACGGGTATATTTGTAGCAATAGCAAACAACACATTGTATGAGTCAAAATTAGTGATTTTTCTTCTATGCCAAAAATCATTAGGCTATTAAATAAAGATCATGTTCCATGAAGAAATTTTGTAAATTTCCTACCGTAAATATATCAAAACTAAATTTTTTATTAGTAATATGCATTGCTACGGGCTTAATTTGGACAACTTTAAAGGCGATTTTCTCAATATTTAGATTTTTTTTACACCCTCAGATTCCAGATTTCCCAGTATCCGAGTTTTTGGGGGGGGGGGGGGTTCAAGATTTTACATCTTTAATACTATTTTCAGTTAAAATATATATTCAGTATATTTTTTAAAGTGTTGTTTTATATGTATCGGTAAACGCTTAAATTAGTGCATTACAGCCAGGTTTTAGCCGCTTAGGGTGACCATACGTGCCATGTTCCTAGTACGTGTCCTGGCCAGGATTTGTTTTGGCTTTGTTTTCCTGTTTTCATGCTTATTGAAGGTAATGATCGAAAAGTAGTTTGACCAATAACATGCAAGCATTGTACATAATGGACCAATCATGGCGTGTGAGAAGGTGGGATCTACGGTCAAAGCGATGCAATTACGTGTACATATTAGGTGTGTTCGACTTAAAAGCAGCACGGCTCAGACCGATCAGTGTTTGACATCAAAGTACCTCGAGAGCGTTTCGAAAACATAACCATCTGTATGGTACTTTGATGTCATACACTGATCGGTCTGCACAGGCAAACAAAGCCAAAACCTAAATATTTTAGGCAATATAGAAATCCTGGCCAGGACGCGTCCTGGGAAAATGGCATGTATGGTCACCCTATTTTAGCCTAGCCTACATGTCATGTAGATGTACAGTTTCGAGGTTTTGTAAACAATTGTAAACAAACATGCATTTTTTAATACTTTCGAAGATGAATTTAAACAATCGAAAAAGCCACCATGACATTACTTGTATGTCTGTAGTCCATAACAAACTACCAACAGCCAGAAGCAGCACTTAAGTTTATTAGGTTTCCAATCCCTTATGATGAGACCCGTTGATCGCTCTTGATTGGAAGCCCCGGTATCCGGATACCAGCGTCACTCAATCAGCATCAAGCGCAACACACGGCCGCTTTGGGAAATGGCCGGACTATCCAAACTGTCCGACAGATTATGATGCGAGTGAGATGAACCTGCTGGACACCTGACGAGATGATCCTCCTATAAAATGCGTACAGTTGCCTGCACTTCACCGGCCATGTAACTTCTAGTGTTGTGAAATCATTATGCAAGAGAACAAACCGGATTGCTTGTACCAGCGGTATCCCAAGGACATAATGACTTCGGCTGTTCCTCGATCGGGATTTGTTGTCTTTTGCATGGTAAATCCAGTTTTATTCCTCTCGATACGTGACATTTATACTGAGCGATTTAAACGGCACGTGCTTAGCAAGTTGAACACTACAGACTGTCGACATGCTTAAACTTGATTGCTGTCACTGCTCGTACTTGACCGATATAAAGTTGGTTCGACATTTGACGTTTGACATTTGTCAGAGATTCAGCCTCGGAAATCTTCAATAGTTCTTTAATGATTTAGCACAAGGACAAGAAACATAATGTGTTATAATTGTTTTCAAATGTAGAAGAGAACACACAATGTGTTTTATTTGTTTTAATCTGCCTTAAAGTATTGTAACTGATGGACCTTATAATGTAAAAGTGCAGGATAGGGACCGTCTGCAAAGTGCAAAACCAAGAGCAAAACGCACAATTATTCCATCTAAATGCTTCACTTATGAAATGTATAAAAAATAAATCTCAGATCTAAGGGGTGTGTCTTATTACTGGCTCATAAAAGAACATTTAGATGTTGGTTTTATTCACAGAACTATAGCACAACAAAAGCTATTGAAATGGAACAATTGAGAAAAAGCTTGCAAAGCATTACAAATATTGTGCAGTTTACCGCCTCCTAGAGGAAGATATTGCACTCGTCTTGACCAAGTTTGACATTCAGAAGTTTAAATAAATTAATTTAGAATGCACACAGTTTGATATGTAAACTTAAATGGGTGTGTCTTGTTACTTGTTAAAAGTACAATATTTACAGCCATCTTTTACTATCATAGGAAAATCAGGATGCGTTAAGATTTGGTGTCAGCTTAGGCGCCATTTCATTCTACAGACAACACCTCTCTTATGCCCTGTTCATTCTAATCCTCTTTTCCCTCCCTCTTTCAATGATAAGGCTTTTGCAGCCTGGGTGGATAATGGGATCGTTTCTATTAAGGATCTTTACATTGATAGCGTATTTGCATCATTCGAACAACTGACTCAAGTTTTTAATTTGCCACGGTTCAATTTTTTCAGGTATTTGCAGATCAGGGATTTTGTCCGCAAGCATTTCTCTGGGTTCCCTTTGATTCCACCCTCTACTCTGATTGATACCATTTCCAATATCAATCCTTATCATAGCGGAGCCATCTCTAAGATTTATAACATCTTGCTCACATATCATCCCTTGGCCTCTGACGGTCTGCGTCTTACATGGGCTAGGGATCTTAACATTGAGAT